TTGAAAAAGCGAACGCCTTTTGAAACATAAACATTTTTTGAAACCTGAACAAAATATTAAAGTGCAAACACTTTTTGAAACATATTTTTTTCTCAAACCTGAACAAAATTTTAAAGTGCGAACACTTTTTGATACATAAACATTTTCTGAGTTTGTGACATCTAGAAAATACAACAAATTCTAAAAAATGTATTGGCCAATTCAAACAAATATTTATATAATGTATAATAATATTCGTGTGATTAAAAAAATTCGTACATTCAAAAAACTGTAACATTTCAAGAATGTTCACGAGTTTCAGAAAATGTGGTTTGGGCTTTTTTTTATAAATAAGTACAATGTAACGAAAATGTTTGCGTGTTGTAAACAAATATGTCATAACCTTAATAGAATATACGTGACATGTAATAGAAAAAGTGTATGCGAATTTAAAAATGATGAACCATGTAAAAGAGTGTTCGTGTAGTTTTGTAAATTGTGTATTGTCATTAAGAAAATGTAAAATATGTATTTCGAAAAATATTATCATGTATTCAAAAAAGTTTTGAAAACATTTAATTTTAAAATGTCCATAATGTATCTAAAAATATCAAAAGTTTATCAAAAAATTAATTTGTGCGTTCAAAATGTACATTGGGTACTGAGAAAAATTAGACGTGTGTAAAAATGAAAAAAGAAAAAGAAAACGTAAAAGAAAAAAGACTAGTGCATGCGCGAGCGGCTGCGTTACTGGGCCGGCCCAATTCAGCAAATACCGGTCAACTCCTTTCAAGGTTTAAAATAGACCGGGATTATAATGTTTGGTGTGCTGATTTCAGGGATTAAGAGTTCAAGGTTCGATTTAGCTTTCACCTACAAAATCAAGGTTTGTTTTGGACTTTTTCCGCCTAAAAAAATAAGTCCTGTTGACTGGTTGTCGGCTCTTTTTTTTAGCTTGGGAAAAAAATGCGTGAGAAGTGCATATTTCAACCCTGAACGCTAGCCCAGGTCTAATCTACAAACCTCAACTATAATACCGTCTAAGAATCAACGACGAACTCTTAAAATCCTACCAGAGGTAATATCTCCTACCCAGAGTGCCTTTGTGCCAGGCAGGCTAATTACAGATAATGTGCTGGTAGCGTATGAGTGTTTTCATACAATTAAGAAAAAGTCACATGGCTCTAATGGTGTTTGTGCTGTAAAATTGGATATGATGAAAGCCTATGACAGAGTAGAGTGGGGCTTTCTAAGGCGGATGATGGAAAAGCTGGGATTTCATGCACAATGGGTTGAATTAATTATGGAGTGTGTTTCCATTGTGAGCTATAGAATCAGATTCAATGATACAGAAACGGAAGAATTTACTCCAACTAGAGGATTGAGACAGGGAGATCCTTTATCCCCCTACCTGTTTTTGATTTGTTCTGAAGGGTTCTCAAGTATGCTGGCTCATGAGGAAGACATTGGTGGGATTGAAGGTATAAAAGTATCAAGAAACGCACCCTCTATTTCTCATCTTTTGTTTGCCGATGACTCCTTGATTTTGATGAGAGCAACTGACCAGAATGCTCACACTTTAAAGAGGATTCTTGATACTTATTGTACTAGTTCAGGACAGAGAGTGAGTACCCCAAAATCAAGTATTTTCTTCAGCCCGAATACTAGAGTTAATACCAGGGAGAGTGTTTGTGGTATACTGGATATTTTAACTGAAGCTTTGTCAGATAAGTACCTTGGTCTGCCAATTATGGTTGGTGTGGACCGGAGCAATTGTTTCCAGCATCTAGTTGATAGAATTTGTCAGAGATTGAAGGGATGGAAAGAAAAGTTTCTATCAATTCAAGGTAAAGAAATTCTTTTGAAATCTGTAGCACAGGCAATTCCGTCTTACACTATGTCAGTTTTTAAGTTGCCTAAAGGTATATGTAAATCAATCACCGATGAAATATCGGGTTTCTGGTGGGGAGATGGACAGGAAAAGAGGAAAATGCATTGGTTTGCGTGGTGGAAAATGTGTGTCACAAAGAAGAAAGGTGGATTGGGCTTTAGAGACCTTCACAGCTTTAATCTTGCTATGTTAGCAAAGCAGTGTTGGCGACTTCTTCAAAATCCGGACTCTTTGTGTGCACGAGTTTTGAGTGCAAAATACTACCCTAACGGGGACATCCTAAAAGCGGGACCGAAGAAAGGGTCTTCATTTACATGGCAAAGCATTTTAGCCGGGGTTCAGACTTTCAAAAGGGGCTGCATATGGCGAATTGGATCTGGCTCACACATCAATATTTGGGAAGATCCATGGATTCCATCTAGTGAGTCGAGAAAAGTTATTACCCCTAGAGGAGGAATTATGTTAACAAAGGTGGCAGAGATTATTGATCCCCATACTGGACAGTGGGATGAGGCATTGTTGCGTAGTGTGTTTTCACCGGTTGATGTAGATAGAATATTACAGATTCCCCTACATGTTGAGGCAGTTGAAGATTTTTTAGCCTGGCACTTTACGAGGTCCGGAACCTTCTCTGTCCGCTCGGCATATCAGGTGGAGTTTGATCATCAGTTTGGACGTCATTACTCAAACTCGAATAACCCAGGTACCGCTAACCTTAATATGGTTTGGAAAAATCTGTGGCAACTGCGGCTCCCGGGGAAAATAAAACATTTTGGTTGGAAAGTCCTAAAGGGGGTCTTGCCGTGCCTCGGTGTTCTGGCAGGTAGGCATATACCCTTGGTTCCGCAATGTCCGCTTTGCAAGATCGGATTAGAGGACATACAACATTGCCTTTTTACATGCGCACGGGCATCTGATGTTTGGTCTGAGTTAGGATTGCAGAATGATATTATAAAAGCCGTGCGGCAAGATCGATCTGGTTCTATAACTTTGGAAATTCTGGTCCGCATGCGTACCATGATTCATGAGTTGCCAATGGCTGAACTCATCTTGGTTGCGATGTGGTTTATCTGGTGGCAGAGGCGCCAAGTAACTAATGGGGAGTCAGTCCAGACACCGGAACAAACATCAATATCTATCCGAGTTTTAGCCACCAACTTCGTACGAGCCTACACACCAAATCAGCCGGTACGTACGATCAGTCATCAGTGGAAGAAGCCACTGGAGGGAGCGGTAAAAGTTAATGTCGATGCGTCATTCCATGCGGACAATTTTTCAGGAGCCTGCGGCGCTATTGCTCGTGATGATCGAGGCAATTTCTTGGCTGCAACTACTTTTGCAATACCGCATGTGTCTAGTGCAAGCTCTGCGGAATTGTTAGCTATCAGGTGTGGTCTGATCCTTGCAGTGAATCTTGGATGCACTAAGCTTATTTTGGAGTCTGACTGTACGACTGCTTTGGAAGCTATATCTGACCCAAACGCATACATGGGAACTGATGTTCCAATAGTAGTAGAATGCTCTCTTATGGCCATGAAATTTAAAAGCATCAGTTTTACTCATTGTAGCAGAGAAGCGAATATGGTAGCGGATGGCTTAGCAAAGCATAGCTTTAATCTTAGCAAGTCTGAAACTTGGGACGTTGTCCCGGACTTTATTCTGCATTCTTATGTAAATGATCTTGCTCTTATTTGATGAATAAAGTTTTAATGCTAAAAAAAAAACCAGGATTCAACCCTCCCCTCCCCACACCCTGGTTTTGACCCTGTTCACCATCCGGTCAGCAAGCCACTCAGCAAAAAATTCAAAATTTCCAGAGAAATAAAAACAATCTGTAAAATAAAAATTCCGAAAAAACCTTATATATATTTTCCTAAAATAAAAGAAACAATTCAAAATTTGGGTAAAATAAAATTTGATGACAGTTTTCATTAATTAAATTTTTTATGAAATTTTCCTAAAATTCTTAGTATTGTTTTCCTAAGTTTACATACTTTTTCAAATTTCTGCGGGAATTTTGAATTTTTTAAAAAAATTGGGCAAAATTTTAATTAGACGATAATTTCCCTTACTTTTAAGAAAAAATGTGAAGCTTTCCCAGAATGCTTAGTATTGTTTTGTTGATTTTATATATTTTTTCGAAAAAATTGTGGAAAAAATAATTTTTTGTCACAAAAACTGGGCAGAATATCATCACTTTTTATTTTTTTGTAGATTTTACAAAAAAACACAAATTATTTGATTTTTTCAAATTTTACATAATTTTTTTTGTTTTCTCTGGATTTTTTTATTTTACATTTTTACCCCTAGAAATTTTGAAATTTTTGCGGACATGGCTTGATGACTGGATGGTCAACGGGTTAAAATCGGTCAACTGGGTCAAAACCAAGGTGTGGGGAGAAAGGGTTGAATCCTGACCGATTATAAGAGTTTGGGGTTGATTTTTGGACAGTATTATAGTTGACAGTTATGAATTAGACTAGGGCAAGAGTTGAGGGTTGAAATATGCACTTCTCTCAAAAAGTGCATGTTGTACCCAATCTGAAGGTTCATCTTTTTTTCCTGTGGCAACTGGCAATGAATCTGTCCCAGTTCTTGTTGACATACGTTTTTAATGGATCCTGCCTGCAGCAGGTCCTCAATCAATCCTATCTTAATCTTAATCAACAAGATCACTAGATATTTATGCCGACCAGATATTTATATAGATTTATACTGACCAGATCTCCTAAATTTTTATACTGACCAGGTTTTCTCCTTCATGTTCTAATACGATCGATTTTCGCAACAAACGACATAGCACAACACATGCTAAACAGATGCAGACATAACACTTCGCAAACGAAAATGGAAACCTTCATCTTACAGAGCTATGTGTAACGTTAGAACCAGTCGTAGAAAAACAATTTCAAATAAAATGGTGAACTAGGAAAGCTCAAGACCAGACAATAGATGTTGCCTGTTTAAATTACTTGTCACCCGCAAAGAGAACATCACGGTCAGCTTTGTGCATACCTTTCCTGTTATGTTCTCTGCCGAAAGCACGGTAATTTCATTTTAACACGCGATATATATACATCCAATTACAGTTGCTAGCGATCAAACGGAACTTCCTTTGAGGGTTCCCAAACTACTGATCTCCTCCTTCATGATGCCTGGGTGTGCTATCAACCTTAATCTCAAGAAGGCTCTCAACAGGCTGCCTGCACATGGGGCATTTGTTGGTCTGGAACCTTAATGTCTGAGCACACTCCCTGCATAGGCACTGCAAAAGAGCACACGGCATGATTTTCAGTTTCACTGGTTTCATGAAGATGATAGGTCAACGAAATTTGGCTTATTTATCTGCCACATAAGATAAAATGATGGGCTGGCTGCGGACTCCCGCGCCTTGCCAACTGAGCTACGCTCCGTTCTCATTTCGAGGAATATATGAAACAGGATTGTAGTACTATCTGCTGGATGTATGACAAAAGGTAGAAACGTTGGGCACAAGATGCATGTACATAGTATTCTTGTATTGGTTTCAAGCTAGGGGCCAGTTTGCAGTTGATATACTGTGCCATGCTGCACCTGCCATATATGGGCCATATCTGTAGTAACTTTGAAGATTTCACAGTGTTTCAAACTATGTTACATGCAAGTACATTTTGTAGTCGTTCATCTGTCTGTGTGTCAGTTTTTCAGGAAAGCATGGAAGCAATGCAAGGTGTATCTTTGCCAAAATCACAAGCATAGAGAAATTAGAAAGAAGTAGAAATGGACATTACAAGTAACTGGCTAAATAGCGAGGATTAGTAAACTTTCGTGATAAGAAAAGAATAGTGTTCCAATGCGTGCTAACCAGATTCCTGAGTGGACTGCACAGCAACTCTGGGTACTTTTAAATGTTAAATATGCAAATGATGAACATGCATGGGGCTCACTAGTCATATTATTATGTTGAACTCCTACCTTCCTACCAAATTACATGGCTTTCCTAAAATGTCAGCACCACCAACTCATATAGCAGTAAGATACCCACCTTCTACTGCCCAGTTTAAGGAAAATCAATACAGAAAATTCCACAATGAAATGAGCAAGAATTATACAAAACTGATACTAACTCTATTAAAAGATAGACGACGTTTTAAACAGTGACATGACCTCCAGCAATCATCTTTCATCATTGCTTTTTGTACATGTTAGAAGAGAAGTATAAAATATTATATTATGACAACATATTCAGAAAATATATAATATAATTTTCACCTTGCCAAACCAATTTTTTATATAGTAGTAGTCGCACTTAATTTTTTGGCAACACACTTTCTAGTATGTCATGCATTTGTGGAAAGGTGTAATATAACTAATCTTGCCAAGCCTATTTCCATCATAATTGTCTTCAAGAAGAAAGGGTTATCAATTAAAGCAAGTTTCAACAGCCATAAGCCTTATATCTACATCTATACATCTAAAGACCATTTAGTACGAAAGGATAACCTACCATATGCCTGCATGGAAGAACAGTTGTATCTCTTGGTTCTGTTAGACAAACCACACATTCTTTTCCAGAATCATCCTCATTAACATTCCTGTCAGCTGTGTTCCTGTCCCCAATACCGTATATCTCCTGCAAGACATATCTAGTTCCATTTACCCACAGTATCTGCTGCACAATGTTGACCCCATATTCAGCACTGTCTTTCTTAACAAACACAGCAAATTTAACCAAAGCCTTCGAGTCTTCAGCATCATGTTCCCTTTCTAATTCTTGGTTGCTTGGCACACCCACTTCCACTTTGAATGCGAGAGGAAATACACGATCCTCCCCAACCTTAGTTAGGTCAGATTCCTCAAACACTGAGAGCTTGATTCCAGTTCCACTTGGTTGCCTGAACTCCTGACCATGACCTTCCTTAAAAGTCACTGTGACAGGTTTGAGCAAATTTTCCTTTGTACCCTTCAGGACACAGTCATCACCTTCTTGTGCAAAGAAGTAAACTGTTATGCTGTTTGCAGGATCAGAAATTAAGAGTCAGTATTTGATTAAAAATAACGTGACAGTCTTGTCATCAAAATATTAAAGAAGCAGGGGCACGCAGCACACAGGTACAAAGCACGAGATGCTACTAAACACTCTGCAAGAAATGGGCATAACGTGGGGATAGCCTAACCTCGGAATGGGACAGAGCAAGGCATGCATTTGGAGAATCTCATTAAGTATGGCTTTGCCATGGTAAAATTACAGAAGATAGCACACAGCCCAAGACCATTAAAGCTCCATTTGAGTCTCATGGACCCTGAGTTTTTCACTTTCCCACCCAGATGAATATGATTAAGTTCCGATTCCATACCTAGACCTACTACTTCCTTCAACAACAAGCCGTGCAAACAATATACGGTACTCTAATCATATATCAAGTGCAGATGTCCATTCTTAACCAAGACGAGCACATACATGAGTCATGAGTGCCTAAATCTTACTGCTCCTTGTCCTTACTCGGACTCAAATATGAAGAATTCAGAAAATTGACACATAATGTCCCAGTTTTGTTCAAATGGACAACAAAACACATAACAAAAGTCATGTGGCTCCAACCAAATACGAAAGTATCATGGCTCCAACAAAATATGTACACGACGGCAGAAATTCTACACTGGCTAACTAATATCATCACGGGATAAAGCTCATTGATCGGCCACAAGGGTCCACAACGACACTACAGGCCTCCATCTAATCAGCAAAGCAGAGAAGAGTACGAGGGGGGCAGGGGGGGTGGGGGGCTGACCTTCCGGGGGCGTCGGCGTCGAAGGAGAAGGCGAGCAGGTGGCCGCTGCCGTCGTCGTCGCGCTCCAGCCGCAGGGTATGCCCCTTGACGTTGACGCCGGCGCTCACCGCAACGGCCCTGTGCCGCTCCACGTGCGTGGGGAACGGCACCGGCGGCGGCGCGGCGGCGCCCGGGCGCCATGGCGGGTACTGGTGGTAGTACGGCGGGGGCACCCCATGTAGATGAGGCCGCGGCGGTGGCAGGTTGGGGCGGCCGCTGCTTCCGGCGTTGCCCATCGGCGCGTCGCCGTCGCCTTCGTGCTGCGATTTAGGTTTTTGCTTGACTTTTAGTCGAGTTTTGGTGGGGGATAGACTGCAACTTTGGTTAGGCTATGGCCTATGGGTAAAAGCATCCAAATCCCACCCTCGACCGCGGATGCGACTGCGCCTTAGTGGACACTGACAGGTCAAGATCTTATAATTGACATTATGGTATCTCATATTTACAAACCATGCAAAAAAAAAATCCTACCTACTATGAAATCACGTTGGCCTAAGCTACACTTCGTCGTCGAAGATGTCCACGACGTCCGTGCCGGGCGCCGGGTAGATGGGCGCGTAGGAGGGCACCAGCTCCTCCTTATCCATATACACGAGCATCTCCTCGACGCCCGTGGCGTGCTCCGCCTCCGCCTCCTGCAGATGACGGCGGTTGGCCTCCACCTCCGAACGGAGAGAATCGAGGATTGTCTGTTGTTCCGCCCGTAGATCTGCGTCCCCGACGTCCCCCACGTCCTCCTCCTGCTACTCCTCTGAATCAAGCGCATCCGGATGTAGCCCCATGGCGATCTGGGCTTCGTGCCTGGCCCAAATCTGCTCAAGGAGCTGCAGTTTGCGCTCTGAGGTTAGATATGTTTAGCTCCTTACCTAGCGGCGTGGTGGCATGGCTAGTAGTGGTGGAGGACGGCGAGTGGCTGACGAGTGGAAAGTGGCAGCAACGGTGGCCGGGAGGGGAGGAAATGTGGACATGTAGGGTTTCAGTGCCGGTGGTTGGCTTAAATAGTCGGGCTAGGACACCATGCGGCCCGCTGGAGTGGCGCCATACAGTGTCAACGGACCAATGGAGGAGACAAGTTTTGGACCGCTGGATTTCAAAGTGTTTTCATGTGGGACCAGGGCGTTAGGCCGACGTGGCAGACGTAGCCGGTCATGCCTGAGCCTCCCCATATCCGCCCTGGATTGGGCTTGATATGAGGGGTGTAGGTCAACCTGGGCATTTTAGCCCTGTTTGAAGGGCCTGGGTGGGTCGGGTATTTTTGGCCGTTCAGTGACCGATCGGTCAACCTGGGCGTTTGAGGGTTGTTTCAGGCGCATGGCTGCAGATGCTCTAAGGCCAGCTCCAATGCGCCAGGACGCGAATTTGGCACCTTTTTTCCTTTGGGTCGGGGTGGCTCACACCATCGTTTGCGTGGCTAATGTGTCCAACCGGTCGATCCATTTGATCTGTCCCTTTACCAAATTCTCTTAATTTGGACATATTATGTATGTTAATCACATAAGTAAATGAAAATAAAAATATTGCACATGATCAAACAAATAATTCACATAGTTTACATCACAATAAATAAAACTCATAGTTTACAACCAAACTAATTGGAAATTGTACCAAATACATTAACTAGGTAGTATCCCTTGTGTATTGGTGACCATTGATCTCATAGTTGACCCTTGGCGACTTGCCTTCTGAAAGCCCTGCGAACATTGGAGAACGCTAAAGCACGTTGTCATTGTGAGAACCCGTCATGCCAAAAAGAAGGGCCAAATCCAAAAAGAAGGGCCAAATCCAGAGATCTTGTGATGCCACAACTTCAAGTATGACCATGCAAGCTTTAACATGTCTCTTGTATTGCCTCTACGAAGCAAACAAACAGTTCTTCTACTTCAAGTGCATACAATCTATGCTTTCAAGCATTCCTGGAAAGCCCCGAGATTCATTGATAGCTAACAGCCCAGTTGTATCTGCATCAGTTGGTTCTCTCAAGTATTCTGGGGCCAAACATTGCAACCACAGCTTTGTATAACTTTTATAATGACGCAAGGTTGTGGACTCACTCACATGGGCATACTCATCCACAAGATCACCAGGAATTCTGTATGCAAGCATACGAACAACTGTGGTACATTTCTCATAAGAGGAGAAGCCAACCTTTCCAATGACATCATACTTGCATTCGAAGTAATCATCATATGCCACCACTCCCTCCTGAATACAGTTGAACACATGTCTCGCCATTCGGAAGTGTCGCCGAAAAAGTTTGAGAGGGAACAATGGGTCATTAAACTTGAAATAATCGTTGTAGAGTAGGCAATGTATGCTCTTTCTATTAAGATTCAACCCTGGGGCTTGGCCCGGGATCGATCCCCTAAACCTTGGTCGTTGCCTAGCAATGTGCTGATTAACGACCAAAGTAGCTATCACGACATCATCATCATATTTCCATCAGTCTCTCACTTACACTAGAGTCAATAATCTAGTTGCACAAATTCTCTAACACCAATGGCATTCTAGTGTTGCTCATGCTTTGTTTGTGGTATAGACTTCGTCAATGGATCTAACATCTTCAGGTTCGTGTGTTCATGCATAGCTTTGCATCTCCACACTCCAGAAAATCCAGAACTTATGTGGAATCTGCTTTGTATATGTTTGAACTCCTGATAGGACCTTGGTTTCTTAGCTTGGGCTATGACACCACTATTCTAAGTAGTGCTCCATTGGCTCAAGTGCACTTGAAACCATACCAAGCTCGGTGATGAACTTCTTGATCCAAACACCCTCGATCGCCACTTCTTGATGTGACCATCTATGCCAAGACTACTGTCACTCGTCCAAGAAATATTAAAGTTACAGAGAAGTTGGCCGTGACAGTTCCAAAAGGGAAAGAAGCTGGTATTTTAGAAGCTTTTTCATATATACAGATTGGTTCTATGATACTTCAGATTTCTCCACCGCAAGATGAAGTTAAACCAAATTTTAGGACTCCACCGAAGAAGCTGTGATCCGATCGGCACAAAAAATACTAGTTTTGTTAGCTTGGTATTATAGTAGAGTCCAAAGGTTGCACAAGTACTAGTTACGTATACGTTTTAAGTCTAGGTTAGTTGGAAGGTGATCAGCGTTGCCGGAGTATTAATTAATCAAATCTTATTTTGTTTGGATAGGAGAGTCCGTTTCAGATTCGCTTACATGGAGTCGGTTGAGAAGTGCCTGCGCGCACGTTATAAAAGCAGGGATACGCCGTGTAAAGAAGGTCAAGTTTTGTTTCATCGTGAGTTCAATAATAGTCAGAAAATGTCCTATGTCGAGGGACACCAAATATTGTCTTCGTTGCTGATCCATTGGGATTTTGTTGCTGCTGCGCGTGGAGCCGATCTAATCTACTCAACGCTAGTTTCTTTTGATCTTACGGTCTTGCATATTTGCTCGATCGGAATTTCTTGTGCTATTGCCAGTATCGTGAAAGATCGGGCCGACGGATGACTCGCCATCTAGTTGAGTCTTCATCAAGTGGTATTCAGAGCTAAGGTTGTTCACGGTACTGTGTTGATTAAGATGTCAACCTCGGCCGACAAGGGTGACGAGGTTGCTGCTGATTCTGAGGAAATAGTGCGTCCAGTGTATGCGGATGATATTCCTCAAAATATTCGGGATGGTTTTGACCACACATGCAACTACATCAAGCAATGTCATGACGCGCTCGGCAAAAGGATAGATGTCCTGATCACTCGGTTCGATGGTTTGGCAGACATCATCAATATGCCGGCAGCGACTTCTGCACCACCACAGACTGCTCCGGCTGCTCCACTGTATTATGCACCACCAGCTCACGACGGATATGCTGGCGTGCATGATCGCCGTCTGGCGGCACACCCTCATGCTGGAGATGATGGTTTCGGTGATGGCATTGACCACGCGGGGTACGCGCCATGACCGCGACACTATGAGCCTCGCCCCGAAACATCCATTCATGGTGGAGTGCATGACCGAGTTGGTCAAGCTGTGCGTGTGCCTTTGGATGATGGAATTGGGCGCATAAAAATTTCAATCCCTTTGTTCTCCGGCAAGTGTGAACCAGAAGGCTATTTGGAGTGGGAGATGCGTGTTGATCAAATTTTTGATGCCCATCATTATAGCGAGGAGAAGAAAGTTCAACTTGCTGGAATTGAGTTTACCGGTTACGCGCTAATTTGGTGGAATCAAATTTGTCGTTCAAGACATCGCCCGATGACTTGGCGAGGTATGAAAGAATTCATGAGGCGCCGTTTTGTTCCTGAGCACTATAAAAGAGATATGTACAACAAGTTGCAGCGGCTCTCTCAAGGTAATTTGAGTGTTGATGAATATTACAAGGAGATGGAATTGCTTATGATACGTACAGGGACAACAGAGGATCCGGAGGCGACCATGTCACGTTTCTTTAACGGGCTAAATATCGAGGTGCAGGAACGTGTTGAGATGGTGGTCTACTACAACATACAAGATCTTGTGCATCAAGCTATGCGTGCGGAACAACAGATTAAGCGGCGCCAAGTCAACACAGTTCCCAGTACCACTTTGAACACATGGCGACGCTCCCAGCATCAGAGTGAGGATATCGATCCTAGCTCGAGGACGGCAACATCAAATCGCCCTCATGGTTCCGTGCAAAAGAATGCTTCAAAATCAGGACCGTCGAGGGTTGATTCTAGTGCACAGTCGACCAATCGTTCCAGTGACATAGAGTGTTTCAAGTGTGGAGGAAGGGGACATATGAAGCGTGAATGTCCTAATGAGAAGAGAGTATTGCTCACAAAAGATGGCTATGCATCCGCGAGTGATGAAGAGGCAGTTTCTGACACTTCTAGTGAAAAATTTGAAGATGCTGAGAAGGTGACTGCTAGTTTTGAAGCTGTTGAATCATATCCGTCCTTAATGGTGCAGCGTGTGCAAGAGGATCGCATTGAGGATAAGGGGCAGCGTTGGAATATTTTTCAGACTCAGTGCAAGATCAACAACACCAATTGCAAGTTGATCATCGACGGTGGAAGCTACACTAATGCAGTCAGCAAGGACTTGGTGGATGCTTTTGCTTTACCAACCTGGAAGCACCCACAACCACACTGTGTCGAATGGTTATATCAGTCGGGCAAACTGAAAGTTACTCACAAGGTGCGCATCAATTTTTCGGTTGGCAATTATATCGATACAGTTATCTGTGATGTTCTACCAATGGATGCATGCCATTTGTTGTTGGGGAGGC